TGTGCCTAAAAATAGCGTCATTACCGGGAAAACATAGCGGAAGCGCATAGAGCGCAGTCAGAACACGGCCACTAACAAATAGAAGACGAATTGGACGAACCCCCTGAGGTATTATCATATTGAACTACCGTCAGTGTTTGGCTTCCCTACTAAAGGCAGCATGAAAAGGGCGCCTGTGCACCCGCATGAGCGACAACGTATGTACGTCGAGAGGGGTCAGTGCGGACCCGTGGCACAGCCCCACACCCGCCGTCCGCAGCCCGCCGGGCTGTGTTTTAGCCTGTGTCACTCGCGCGCGCGCCCTCGGATGTCCTTCCCCCGACCCCCTCCCCACACGCCCGCCACAAGCTTCCACGCCCGTCCCCGGACTGCCCCTCCACCCACCCATGACGATTCCCGCCCACATTGGCCGCGCCCGCCCCGCCACCGTGCCAGCGCCCCGCGTCCCGCCCCCGCCGCGTGTCCACGTTTCAAGTCTCCCGTCCGCGTCGTCCTCACCGCACCTCGCCCCCGCCCCCGGACAAATGCCCTCCCTCACGCCCCGCCCCACCCCCACCCATTCATCGCTGCCGCCCCCCGCTTGTCTTTCCCGCGCTGTACCTGCCCCGCCCCCTCAACCCGCCCCCTAAAACTCAACCCACGCCCGCCCCCGCGCCCACCCTTCCCGCACGATCCGCCGCGCCGCCCGGCGCCCGCCCCTCACTGCGCCAGTCTTACCCCACGCCCACGCCCACGCCAACACCCACGCCTACGCCAACGCTAACGCCCCACACAAACGCCCCACTCCATGCCGTATCGCGCCCGCTCCCAGCACGTCCCTCACCCGCCCCCTGGGTACGCCCCTCGCCTGCCCCCTAACAGCTCCCTGGCTCCCCCACGGCCAACCCATCGCCCATCCTTCTCGCTCGACTCCGACGCGCTCCCGTCGCCCGCTTCTCACCCGCACCCTGGCTCGGCCCCACGGCCCACTCCCACTCCCACGCCCACGCCCACTTCCCACGCCCGCCCCTCGCCCGCCCCCCTGCCCCGTCCCCCTGGCCCGCCCCCTGCCCCGCTCCTTGCCCCGCCCCTGCTCCGCCCCCTACCCCGCCCCCTACCTCCGCCCCCTTGCCCCACCCCTGCCCCCCCCCTGCCCCACCCCCGCCCCCACCCCCTGCCCACCCCTTGCCCACCCCTGCCCCAACCCCCTGCCCTACCCCCAGGCTCGCCCCCACGCCAGCCCCCGCCGCCCACCCTTTTCTCCAACACCCCCTCGCCCGTCCCCTCGCGCGTTGTGCGCCGAGGCAGATGTATCACGCGTCACCGGGGATGTGCGCCCCATTAGAGTACAAGTTGCTATGCCGCCGCTGCGGAGCGCTCGTATGTCAAAGTGCGGCGCTGGGCACCAGCGCTGCCCCGCCCGGCAATTCTGCCCCCGGGAGTAACTTTTTGATGGGCTGGGCTCATTGTTGATAAATCTTGGGGTTCAGCCTTTTTTTTCATAAGTTTACCTAAAACCGTTGCTGGGACGATTGTCGAATATAACTGTGTAAATGACTCACTGAATTAATATCAGTCGCTTACTATAAACCGTTCCTCTCCTCAACTCGGCTAGCATATAGGTTAACAGTGATAATTCCGAGCAGTTGACGTGATCGCACTCATTGATGTCCTCTTCCAGTATTGCGTAATACGAGAGGTCGCGAGAACCAATGTGAAGCCAGCTTATGTTTTGTTCACCTGTGCTTGTTTGTGTTATGTCGCAGGTCGATTGTACTGCTTTGTTTCCGAGAATGTCGTGGCCGTTGAGTATTTAGGATGTCCTATGCAATTTTCGGCTGCCCCTGTCGGTCGCGATAGCGCACCAGAGTCGAAGTGGTGAGCGCTTATTTGAGGGGGGCCCCAACAGGACTCTGTGAATGCGAAACGAAAATATTTAGAAGGAGAAATTTGAGTATAGAAATCGCAAGTACGAACTGGTGTGCTACAGAACGAAGTGCGTATTGTTTACTAAAATTAAATTTTCTATTGTACCTAAAAAAGATATGTATGTATGTGTTTAGTTGTGTATGCGTGCATTGCTGCGGTATGTATGTATGTATGTATGTATGTGCGTATGTCTATGAGTGTGTATGATATTGTGTATGTATTGTACTTGTGGCAGCCCTGTGAACAGGCTCAGGCCTACGGCGACGACCCTGCCTCGTGGCCATAGGGTACGTGTGCACGTTGACATCCTCACGCCGTATTCTTCAACCTGAGAAAGTGAATTTTCTCCTTTAAACACACAGAAAACATATGTGGGCATGGCAAGGAAAACGTACACAAATAGGTCTTGGCTCGACCGGGAAATCAAATCCGGGCCGCACCGTACTGGAAAGCAAGACCAAGGAAGGTTACAAGCTCTTGTTAATTAATAAAACAAAGCAAAATATGTATTAAAATATGTACCCTTTTAGCTACTTCAATAATATATGTTAGATTTTTTTCACATTGAGAGAAATGTTGTAGTTAGAATTTCTAAAACATGTTTAGTAAGCAATCATATAGTAAATACAATCATTCCTTTAGTAAGATTCACTCAACAGATTTAGTTTCGCTTTAGTAAATCATAACAATTGAATGAATATGAATAAACAAATGGATTTGTCAAAAAGTGCTATACTGGTTTCGTAGGATAAAATCATCGGTGAAGGATCGTTCATGTTGTCACACTACAGTATAGTAAAAAGCGCTTCTCAGCCACGTGACCAATGGTCGAAAGCGTTATAGTCCCTTGGTGATGTGCTAGAATCAACGCTCTATGTCGAATTATACGCTTTTATAAATGGCGTGCTTAAGTATTTGTATTTTTAATTTAAATAATTAGTGTTATATTCTTAAACTGATCCGGTAGAAATAACGTTGCGTAAGCCCAAATCGTTTTATCGGCCAGCATATCTATTCTGCTTGGCTAGCGTCTGTCAGGTAATCAAGTTAAGGAAGCAGTCCACGGGAGCGTAGGATGGACGGCCGCTCTAGAACCCCATTGCCATCTGCGTTGAAGGAATAAGTATTCCCTTTCACGTTTCGGTTTAGTTATTTTTTACTGCAATTGTTTAGTAAAGTTGACACAATGTATTTATTCAACACAACGATTCGGTTAGTGATCTTCACAAAGATGCCGTTCGACCGGGTGACCACCTGTTTAGTGAACATAACTGCAGGTGCATTAGTCCTGTGTTTAGTTTAAACAGCAGTTTCGTGAACGTAACGAAACCACTTAGTTCTTCCAAAGATGCTACTACTTGTATTCATTTAGTTGAATCTACTATGTGATTAATTTTATGAACTAAACATTTCACTTCATACAAATCATTTTTCTTTTTACAATATTTTTGGCATTAAAACGATATATATGAAAACTTTGAATCATAAGGACTTGAAATATTTTATCTTTAATTTTAAATTATTGTTTCGATAAATTAACTTAACTAATTATAAAAAGAAATCAGAAACTATTATTATTTGTTGTGTTGTAATCTAAAGTGTCTACAAGTACGTTAAAATGGTTCTTAATTGCTACAAGAAAAACAGTGGTTTTAATGTCTTTAACTGTTTCTAACGAGTACCTAAAATAAATTAAATAAATGTTTTGGCATAACCTTTTTTTATCCTAAATATGCATTCTTACTAGTAAAATACTATTAAAAATCTTTCTCTTAAAACTATGTCGTACCCAATCACTGATTATTACAATTGAGAATATGAATATATTGCACAAAAAATAAAGCACTGACGCGTTTGAGCAAATATTTTAAAATTCTTACTTGATAACACTTAAAACAAAGAAATGAATTAACTCGACCGAAATGTTATATTTCTCTTCATTCAGCTGGTTGTAATTTTCAATAAGTTATTGGTTTTTATGAAATGTTCTATTTTCCTATTCTCGTTTTATTCTCCGCTAACCAAACACGGGCATACTGAAACAATCACAGTTTCTCTTCTGTGTGTCAAACCATCACTCAGATTATTTATTCGAGCTCACCTTTTATGTGCATATTTACATTGCATCATTACCATCTTTATAAATAAAAACATTTACTCTATTTTTTTACCACGATCTGCATATACCCCTGTTTTATTAATAAGCCTTCTGGCCTCCCCGCATAAACCCCCAAACACTACAAAACGTTATATGCTACATTCTACTGCCTTACACATTTCAACTGCTCCTCCCCCCAAGCTCGACAGATGAGTTTCGACAATAGTGTGTACTATTAAATAACTCGGCTATCCGGGAGACCGCCGGCGGTCGGTTGGCTGGAGGCCGAACGTTTCGCGCTGACCATGTCGCCAAGCTTCCTCAAGGCCAATGGACAAGTTCATTCATGAAATCGAGCCGCGGGAAGCTTTACGTGTACAGTTATATGTAATTTAGCAAACTCTTCGCAGTTGTCATCTAAGCTTGAGATTGAACGTACCATTGCGACATCACCTATGGCTGACGTTTCAACACCCCCATTGGGCATGAAACCGTGAACAGCCTTGATACGCTGCGAGGGGCAGAATTGCATATAATCGCAGTACAATAATAAATCCAGAGTGAAGATAGTCCTACAGTTACGTGGCCAATCCAAGTTCCCTCTGTGCGCTCGGCTTCGGGCTGGCCAGATTCGGATACGCCACCGTTTAGCCGTCCCCTTTGCGGCCGTTACTCCAGGACAGGCAAGCCCTCTTCTAATAGCCTAATGTGTAAGCGGCGACGATGCGTGTAACGGTAGCGTAGCGTACTGTTATACCCAAGTTCGTGGCTTCAAACCCGAACGAAGCCGTGAATTTTAAAGGCGAAATAATCCTTCGCTGCTCTTCTTCGAGAGCAGTAAGCTGGCTGTTCCTTGTTAGCAGTTTCACTTGCATGTTAAAAGATCCTGCTAGTCCTACATGAATCCTCTGAGCTAAATTTTCAAAGGCGCCTGTTTCGTCGGCCCAAGAAAGTACTCCTTCTCTGCGTAGGTGGTGAAAGGAGCGTAGCTAAAATGTTGCGTGTCAGACGGAAGAGCGGCCTTGATGACCCCGAGTCTCACCACGGTAAATTAAGGCATGAATGTCAAGTCAATTATGCCTGCCTAGGCCCCAAACCACCACTGCGCGTACGTCTCGTAAGCGCGAGTGTCCCTCGCCGCCGCAATCCATACCTGTTATTTCAGATACATTTATTTGTGTCTATTTTCCAATGTTAACCGCCACAGACGAACAAGAAAACTTACTGTTGGGAATCATATACCAACGCTCAATGCTACAGAATTGAAAAATGCATAATAATCACCAGCGCAAACCTGTGTCATGTGAGCTGCGCCTGTGATGTTACGGCCTCCTCAGCAGGGTATGACTCGTGGTAATCTCTCCTTCCCTATTCTTTCCCTTAAGACAGGAAGAATAGGACAGACCACCTGCACCAACCGCCGGTTAATGGCCTGTGTGAAACCCTTGACAATGAGTAGAGATGCACCCTATGTGGTTTCTTCGCGATGTCAACAATAGAATGGGTTATTATAGCATGGAACAAGAACATGAGAATTTACGAAAACAGTGGTTGTTATTGTATTTTAAGTTCATATTAATCGTTATCTAATGTATTATACACGTAGTGTATTGTATTTTAATACATGAATGTAATTAAAGAAAAAATACTAGATAGCTAGCTCACTACTACGATAGTTGTCATGTTTCCTACTAGGATTCTAGTGTCATTTTTTTTAGTTACTTCCTTTGCATCACTTAGATTTTAAGTTAAAATTTAAGGGAACAATATAATGCAAAACAAATTATAACACTAAATATAGTATGGTCTGTTTCTTTGCAAATGACACAGAGAAATTGAAGCCTTTTTGTCATTCAATATGTAATTAAACGGATGAAATCATATGAATAATATTGTTAAATGAAACATAAGTTTTTGCATAAATTCAAACTCATTGCGCTATGTAAAGCCCTAATATAATAAAACGTAAAAGTTAATCCTTGAATTAAACTTACCTGATTCTTTTCATTACAGATCCGCTTCTCTTTCAGTGCTCTGACTAAAGTGGAAAAATGATAGAAAGGTTAGCTAGGGAAATTGGAAAAATTATTCACATTTTATTTCTTGCAAAGAATTATTTAGTGTATTTTTGGTATGAAAACAAAGATTAGACGTCCTATTTCGAAACACAAACATATTAGACGTATGTAGAAAACAGTTAGAACTATAGAACGTTATTAGAAACGTTAGAACGTAATTAGAACAGTTAGAACGTATAACGTATAGAACGTTAGAAACGTTATTAGAACAGTTAGAACGTATAGAACGTATAGATACGTATTAAACGTATAGAACAGTTAGAACGTATAGAACGTTAGAACGTATAGAACATATAGAACGTACAGAAACAGTAAGGTGCGCGCAACAGCAAAACGAACGATAAAAGCGAACAAAGCGTGCAACTGTTTTTCGGGATTTATTCGCAGTTGCTGGCCAGGGAGAAGCTCCATCGATTTATTGGTTTCTGCTTGGAATCGGGAGATATAACAGAACTTTTTGTGTGCATTATCCCTCTGATCGACACGTTCTTTCGATAGCTAGTAACTTCACTTCATGCTTCAATTCACAAAACAGATTCAAACAGTAAATTAGAGGCCTGCCAGACTCCACTACGTACATTAGTGACGAATGTTACGAGTGTTATTTTGTATTTTAACTTTGATTAAAAAGGAGGTATACATAACGTTGTTAAGGAGGAACAAAATACAAATGCTTGTATAATAAATATTATTCACAATAAAAGAAAACAAAATGCTGTACATTGAAATAGATATTATTTCAAATTAAATTTATTGTTCACAACAGAGCGTAGGCCAATATTGAAAATGAAAAAAGATGTCAAATATGTTGCAAATAATTAAAGAAAAAGCTCATTAGAACACTCTCAGTTCAAGGGCACATGTTAAAATAGAAATATACTAGAGTTAGAAAAATATTTTCAATGGTTTATTTACTTAAAGTGTATTATAACATGCACAGTAGTGAAGTCACCATTCGTACAATGGCATCCCCATTTATTGCCATCAACCCTCCATCAATGCGATCGCGTGTGAATAATTCTCGTCTATCTCCACCACCCCGCAGTGTTCTCCTTTATTCCAAAATCGATTCCCGGATGTAAGACACAGTATTGCACTCCGAAAGGCAGTCGCGGCGGATCAACCATTTATTACCGACGTAAACACGGCGGGGAACAAGGAGATGAACGCATTTACCGCCTGGCCTGGCGCGTCCGACCCGCAGCCAGGTCAGCCATCACGTGTCCAAACACGGTGCGTAATAGTGCCGGCGGGCGGTGCGCTGCGCTATCAGGCGCGTTGACCGATTGCCATAGCGGGGCTCGTGCTTCAGCTGTTCTCGTCTTCGGGGAAATCGTAAACGTAAACTGGGATTAATTGCGACACCCGAGTGCTCCGTCAATAGTGGCAATAGGGCGTGTTCGGCGCGCGGTGGAAGCCGGGCTGTCTCGGCGCGAAAGCCGGGCTGTGCAGGCGCGGGCCGCGCTGCTCGCCCCCGAGTCGCCTTCTGAAGCGCCTGTCCCCGCGGGATTCGCTTCTGTCCGCGTGGCACGGCGATACAGCGCCCGGCGCTTGACCGACAGTGTGTTTGGGGTGTGCTCCTGCCTCTTGTGGTTGGATGTACAGCTGGTACTCCCGACCCCATTCATCTCCTTCTCCTCCCTCCTGTCTCATCCTCCCTCTCTCTCTCCTTCATCCTCATCTCTCCTCTCTCCCTTCCCTCCCTCTCTCGCTTCTCTCCCTCTCTCGCTTCTCTCCCTCTCAACCTTCCTTCCCTCTATTCTCCCTCCCTCTCTCCCTTCCCTCCCTCCCACTCTCTTCCCTCCCTCCCTCTCTCCTCCCTCCCTCCCTCTCTCTCTCTCTCTCCTCCCAAACTTTCTTAGAAACTCTTCCTCGTTCTCAGTATACACCTATTGTCTGGGTTCCTTTTGCTTCCTGACCTGTTAATTTCCTTTTTCCTCTCTTTGTTCCTTTTTAAGCTTCTCTATTGAAGCGTCATTATTTCGTTATGTATTAAAAAGTGCAATAATAAATTAAAATGTTAATTGAAAAATTAAAAAAAGTTTCAATACTTTACTTCAAATCATATACTCGAAAACATTAGTGATTAGAAAAAACACTACTTAATTAACTAAATGGTAACTTGCTATATCCTTGCCATTTTATCACGCTTTAGCGGACAGGGCTGTAGAAAAGTTAGGGAAGTTCTATACGCACACTATGCGGACTATTGAAAACCCTCCGAAACATTATTTTATATCGATCAATTTTATTCTCGAAGACTAATGAAACGTGGGAGGATACAAACTCTAGAACACTACGATCATTTTTTTACTGTAAACACAGAGTTCGACACTATTCTGAAAATTTAATTGAAGGGTTTTATATTCACTAAGATTTGAACATACGTATATATTGTAGTAGACTTGAGCAGGAAACAACACTATGCCCCTTAATTTAATAATGAAATGGATCACATATAACTATAATTACTGATTTTGTCTAAGTTACGCGATACGTGTTTCAAACGACTGCTGGAAATTTCGTTAATATAGTCTCGCCTTTCTATGCATTTAAGAAAATGAAATAATTGAACTCGCTATTTTTGAACCGCTGATCCGAACCTCACACTCTCACATGCTTCCTTGCCAGGACGTTCTTAAAGGTTTGACACGGCCAAACAACGGAATGAAGAAATGACGACAGGCTAGAGTTATTCCTATTAATTTTTCGATTTTATTAAATTAATTTTTTGTGCTATAAAAACCCTAAATTATAATTTAAATTTTAAACATATGTCTTAACCTCAATTGAATCGTTTATTTCAGAAACCCATCAAACGCCAAATTCCTCATTTGGAGAAAATTAAGAAAAATTCTTCCAATTTTTCAGATTTCAAAATATTTTTTATATATTAAAGTAGTTGATAAATGAAAATTTTTTCATATAAATATGCACTAAAGGATGTGTATATCTTCTTGGAACAATAATCCGTCGCTAACGCGAGTTTTAGATTTTGACGTGTGACGGGTTTCTGAAATAAACGATTCAATTAACCAAATAGGTGGCACCACCCGTTCGCCCTCATTCAAATTACAATAAAACGCTCAGCAACGATAGGAAGCTTTCCGTACGATACCAGCCGGGTCACGTGACGCGGTCTGAAATCTGTCGTCCCGCCTTCTCTCGGAACGCGACTCGCCCACGCGCGCTTCCTTTCCTCGCCAGCGCTCCCGTCGCTCCTCGCCGCCCCGAATATTGCCTCCCGCGCATGATCCTTTCCAGCCGCAAGCTCCCCTCGCTCACACCAGTCGCCAGCCAAGCATGCGCCAGCGCACTTCCTCGCCAGCACGTTCATATGTTCGCCCGCTCGCCCACGCTCACGCCCTCGCCTTTGCCCCAGCCCTGCCCTGCGCCCCGACCACGCTCTCGGAGTTCCTCTCGAACTAACTGCCCATTCACCCGTGAGTTCAACTGACTCGCCCATCCACCCGGTCGCCCATCCGAACGCTTGTCTATCTTCTGTTCGCCTTACCTCCCACTCATCCGTCCTCTCACACGCCCGTCATTTCTCCCGTCCGTCCTCTCTCCCGTCCGTCCTCTCTCCCGTCCGTCCTCTCTCCCGTCCGTCCTCTCTCCCGTCCGTCCTCTCTCAATTCCGTCCTCTCTCCCGTGTGTCTTCTCTCCTTTCTGTCTTCTCTCCAGTCCGTCCTCTCTTCCGTCCGTCCACTCTCCTCATCTGTCCTCTCTCATGCCCGTCCTCTCTCCCGCTCGTTCTCTCATGTCCGTCTTCTCACGCCCCTCCTCTCTCTCACCCGTGCTTTCTTATACCAGCCCTATCTCACGCTCATCTTCTGTTATGCCCTTCCTCTTTTGACGTATCTCCCGCACGTTTTATGTCTCATCCGTCCTCTCCCGCTCGTTCTTCTGCTTGTACTGATTCTACCTCGTTCCTCCTACGGCTCACCCTTCCTTATTGCTCATCCTCTCACTCGTTCGTCCTTCTTCTCTTCACCCGTTCTCCAATTCGCCAGTCCTCGCTCAATCTCTTCATCCATTCTCTCCCTTTCCCATCCTTCCCCTCTCCCATTCGCCCCCTCGCCCATCCTCCCCTCGCCCATCCTCCCCTCGCCCATCCTCCCCTCGCCCATCCTCCCCTCGCCCATCCTCCCCCTCGCACATCCTCTCCTCGTCCAACCTTCCGCTCTATCCTCTGGCTAGCCTGCCCTCTCTCTTGCCACTTCTCTCGCTTACCTTATCGCTCACTCATCCTCTCGCTCGTCTATCCTTCTCCCTGTCGTGCTCCCTTGTCCTTTCGCTCCTGTTCCCTCCCTTCTACCGTATTTCCTCTCGCCCTTCATTCCACTCTCGCTGCCCTCTCTCCGCCCGGCGCCCAGCATCGCAGCGCGGCTGCCCATTCTCCGGAGCCTTTGCCCGCGAAATGACTAGCGCCGCTTCCTCCCCCTCCCCCTCCCAGCATCGCACGCTCTGGAACTTCGGCACAAGTTCCGGCTGATCGCAGCGTTGCCAGCGCGCCTCGCGCCTGTGCGAGGAAGCTCGCTCGCAATGAGGTGAGAGCGGATGAGTAAGCAGGTGTTACGCGGCTCTGAGAGCTCGCATGTCGACCGTGGCTGATCTGCAGGATGATTCGTTCTTTTGTGGGAAGCGGACAAGTCTGTAACATGAAAGCGTCGCTAATCTTTCCGTATCATTATTTCAATACACGGCCACTTTTTTCCAAAAAGGAAAAAAGAACGTCGTGGAGTAATAATTTTTGACGGAGAAAATAATTCTAAATATAATAATTTATAGAATCTTTCGTTCAATGTTTTCATTCCCAACTCGTAAATATTGCCTCTGCCAAGGCACTCTTTGTTCAACTACTTTTTCCATAAATTCATAATCCACCGTCACGTTGATGGAAGTGAAGCATACAAATATCATCAAAATGACATTTAACGTGCCAAACGATCTGGTGTCGCCAGAGGCAATGACCTGTTGTAACATTTCCCATCGATGGTTACAAGAGATATATTTGACATGAAAGTGGAAAATCGTTTATTATCCTAAAAATTACTATAAAAGGTAGATGTCATTTGCAGTTTTTAACCGCGAGATACGCATAATTTTGCATTCAGTAATTCCAATGGAAAGCACAGATAACACATCCACATAATGTGGTCACCCGTTACAATTAGCATTCAGGAATGAATGCTCACTGTTCCACAGGTGATATAAACTACTCTCCGAGATGTTTGATGAGTTCTTTAATTGCATAGTTGTTCCATAAGAATATTTTGTTTATTTCACATTTTCAACGAACAACCACGAATATCAACTACCAGACGAACTTGAGTCTTGTTTAATCTTTACAATTATCTTTCTTTCTCATCGTTACATTCGTTTATGATTTTAATTATCCCAATTATAGGAGTTATGGCTTATGTGAATAGCAGAAATTTCATCCGTTGCTACTTGTCACTAAGCTGTCAAAAGTCTGGAATTCTAGTTTTAAACGATTTGGTTTTGAACACATTAAACGCAATGCAGAGTACAATAAAAGCACAGGATATAGAAAACATAGAGAAAACCGCTCTTTGAATAATGATCAAATGGCGGTCAATGTGTCCAACACCACTAGCACCTTCAGCCACATTAATAATTGTTGTTCTCCACTGCTGTATATTTTACTTTCGTATTTACAAGCTAGAAAATAAAAAAACGGAAATATTTGAATACTAAAAATGTCCATATATTACGATATTTAGTTCGCTAGTTCAGACCACGAACGAGCATGATTTAGCAAACATTCTTCTAAGTCTATTCGTGCACATGTTGACGCTGAAAAGAAAGATACACGGTTTGTTGGCAAGCGAATCAGAATTAAACTTTGTCCAGAGAACGCTTAACGCTATGTTTATATGTAAATTTGTAAGTGCCATTAACGCAGGGAATATGTTTTTGATGCAGTCCAATAAAAAAATTTAAAGATAATAAATTTATTGATTTCAAAACTTGTAAAGCTTTAATACCTTAAAGAATGTTATGTCAAAGAAATCAAGTTGCAGAAAAATATCCACATATATTTCCAAATAAACAATAGCCACGATATTTGCAGTGCACACAATTAACGAGTTATTGAAATTAACTTTGAAAGAAAAATTGAAAAGATGTCTAATTATGAATAACATTTTGCAAAGAAAGCTTCAATATATGAATTTTAAGTCAGTTTATAGAAATATTTATACAGATTACCAGGCGTAACACGTAATAATGAATATAACCTGGGAAAATGTACGCGCTCACAATATCTGTCAAGTGCGTCTTCTTTTGTCCTCTTATGTCGTCTGTTTTGAAGTTATATATTATGGATCCGGTTTTGATTTTTTCGAACATACTCGAGAATTATTTTTGTCCACGATTCATCTTTGGAAACAGGGCATCTTTGGCAACTAGTATGATTTGGTATGCATTCTACAAAAGGTTTATCAGAAAATTATTAACATTAAAAATGCCTTGTTGTTTGTTACTTCGGACAAGATCTGTCGTGAACAAATGAAAAGTGTTTTACACAAGAGTTAACGAACAGTGCTCACCCTTAAAAGGACCAACAAACCATGGATTCGGTTTACAAAACGTGTTTATGGAAGTAATTGGCTATATGTAGGAACAATACTTTCGTCTTACTTTTTCTGTCAATAAGAGTTTCTTCGGTTGAAATCGCCAATTTTCAGTAAACGGTTACTATACTTTATTTTCTGAAGAAGGCGGTAAACTAAAAAATATGTCAACCGGACTCTGTCATTTTGCCCTGATTGTTAAGCTACGTCTAACAGAGGTGTTTGCCAAATCTTCAAAAACTCTTTTGCAGCTGCAGCAAGACGTGTGCCTGCCAAAGTCAAGGACACAATGGCTTTCCCAGAAACCAGGGAAATTTCACATTTCTCACATTATCTATCATAATTTTATTATAAGCGATTTTCGATCAAATGCTCATGGTCAAAAAAGTGATTTTCCATTCCCCTTCACGCCATAAATGTTTGCAATAATAATTACGCTGAGACTCTTGTATAGTTAAAATATATGCATTGACTTTTTTACTTGACTGTCGGGGTGACGCCACGTCCATGGCGAAGGCTTCCTTACGCCCTGAGGAAGGTCGCAGAATTGCGACCGAAACGTCGGCACCTTCGCCATGGACGCGGCGTCACCCGGACAGCCAAGTAAATACTGACTCCGCCCGCGGAACACGCTACGCTCTCATATGCACGTTCTTGGTTTCCCGTATCATTCTTGTTTTGTGGATATGAAATATTGTTTGTTAAGTGACGATCATATGGTTGATAAAAATCACAATGACGTGAAAGGAGAGTAATTTGCACGTTTGTTGTGTGTGTGTGTGTTGCAGCGGCGCGCAAACCAGTGATCCGAGAGCTCTCCGTGCCGGCGGTAGCCGACTTACGGGATCCAGTGACGTTATGGTGCCGCTACGACTTGGCTGGCGCGCGCCTCTACTCCGTCAAGTGGTACAAGGACGACCAGGAGTTCTACCGCTACATGCCCGACGAGCAACCGCCGGCGCAGACCTTCCCAGTGCCCTACGTCTCCCTGGATGTGAGTATCTAATTACCACTTCTTTATTAGTTCTAAATATTGTTGACATAATACGAATTTGATTTACTAGTACAAACCCGTACGATTAAACCGGACGGGAAGTTTGAAATCAAATCCTTTTACTTGTCTTATATTTAGGGAGGAAAAGTAACGCATTCTGTGTATAGTGTTTCCTCTCCCTAATCTTTCCAGACATAGCCTGATCTGCTCAACCCCGCTCTGCCCTACCCCGCTCCATTTCAAGATTTCAACGGAAATACAGGAAATACAGAATACCCTGATACCGATTTTTTTTTTTCAAAACGTTCAGTGTAAGTGAACAACACTAGTGCCTAACCCATTCAAAGGATTTCTTTCTAAATTAAATATACTCCTGTCCATTTGTCCTGCGTCGACGCTCTGCGATTTTGAAATTCATGGATTAGTTTTTGGAGGTACTTTACATGAAGCTCCCCGGATGATTTTCAAAATTTTCTCAAAAATAGCTCAAAATGTTGTCTTAAAAATGTCTTATAAGAATAAAGTAAAACTCAATTATAAATGTGGCTTAGGCCGATTTTCACAGTTAACTCTAAATTTTCGGAAATTTCAAAAGTTTGATTTTTTGGGATTTTCTTTCAACAGAATTAAAGAAAGAGACTTTTTTATTTAAATAAAATTTGCTGTCCATAATTTGTTGTTTCATTAGAGTAATGCATTGTTTTTTAAATTTTAGTAGTTTTCGCGCGCTATTGCTTGCAATTGGTGCAATTTAAAAAAAATTAAGAAAAGATTTTCTCACCGCTCTAAATGTTGTGTTTGAACTTTTGGTAGGGATTGTGCTAAACACACTTTATAAGATGACATAAACGCCATTCTGCTCTATTCTTTTGTTTTTTCAGAAATTACAAAAATTATATTTTTGGACTTCTCTCACGTCGTTAACATTAGCAGTAATTTGCTCGCATTATAATATTTATGAGTGCATACGTTTTAAATAATATCACATAATGCTTCTTGAAAACTCGACTGTTTTCTGTGAAAACTAGCTCAAATTTTTGCACTTTCAGAAACGCTCAAACGCCATTTTCTCAAAAACGACTTCAAATTTTTTCTTCAAACTTTTCGAATGGGGAGTGCTAATTACACTCTTTAATATGACGTAAATTTCATTTCGTTTTCTTTTTTTTAAAAAAAAGAAATACACACATGTATTTTTTTAATATCTCTCGCGCTGGCAATGTGTACATTTCAAGCAATTTGGAAACACTATTCTTTTTGTGAGTTAATGAGCTTCAAATGATTTCTAATGAAGTTTTACGAAAGCTCAAAACATTTTTGTGAAAAATTGCTCCAAATTTCGAATAAGATTATACGTCATTTTCTTAAAAATGGCTCCAACTTCTTAAAGAAAATTGCCATTTAGCACGCGGTTTTACTTTTTTAATGTTCTTGAAATAATATTTCTATTTTATCATTAGTAAACCGAAAAATTAAGAAAATTTCGAAAAATATATTATGGGCAACGATTAATGCAGCAGGCAATAGTATGCGGCAAGTTCAAATAGCTAGCCGAGACTGAAGGAAATAGAAAACTAATACGGGAAATTCTGAGCCATTCTGTACCTCCACTAATTATTCTAAGCCAGAAATTTACATTAGCTGTTAACCTGTAAGGAAACGATATTTTTTTTGTAATCTTGGTTCGACAGGACCGTGCAGAATGATGGATACGAGTTTGTTTTTATTCTTGACGCTGTCTTTTCGAACTCACTTTTGAATTTTAAAATGGTAACTGTGAAAACCGTATTATATTTTTTTGTTCTTCACACATGTGTAATCGCCAGCCCTGAGAAGGGTATATCATACACAGAGAGCTGTCTTCACAAGGGATTCACGGCCATACTCATAAGTAGGGTGGGATTCTTCGTTAACATTTAATCCCTGCTCTAAGTTCCCGAATGGCCTCCCGGAATGTGAGGAAGTGTAGTGCGTGTAAGTGTAAGAGTAAATGTGGGTAGGTAAGGGGTAAAGATAGGACAAGTGAATGGAAACACAAAATGAAATATTGAAGCAAAGACGGCATTAAGGCGTCCATTGCCTTAATTTTAACAACAATTTATTAATTATTTCATGTTTTCGGATGCATCAATCGCTAAGGTCATTAGTCCCATCAGTATAGTGCATGTTCTAATCATGGGAGGGGCGGCCGAATATCGAGATCCGGCGCCAGCCTTCACGTCAGCTCGCGGATTGTCACACGAGTGTATCACCCCGACTGGCGCAAGCTGTAAGCTCCCGACAGATCTCACGATACTGTGCTAGTGTAGTGCTTATAAGTGTAAGTTTGTCATTAAAAGAAGAGGGTATGTCCAAGAAAAAGACGGAAAGATCGCGCGCGATTCGTGGCCCCTTTGTTAGGGCACTCCTGCATGCATCGCCTAGTGTTAATTGGAGAAAGCATAGAAAACTCTCAATCAGAGCAACCGGGCGCTAGAATTCTCCTCCAAAGTGCGGCTGAATTCTGCTTAGTTTAGTGTCGGAAATCCGCCACGTTCAGGATACGAACCGTAGCACCTGACTGTCAGAACTACTGCAGTGTATGATGCCTTGAGCTACTTCAGCTGATTTATTCGTTTAATGAAATTAACAAAAAATGTTTATAATAGAAAACATTTTAATAATAACAAGCAATAAAATATCTGGGACCCTTTGCCTCTCATTTAAAACAAAATCACGAAAATTGGTTGAGAATAAAACTAAAACTTTCTAAACAAAGAACTTCGTTTTAAATATAAGAAGGTTTTTGCAAACACTTAAATTTCAGAGATTTCAAAGAAATGTGGAGCAATACCAAACATATATATGTATTTTCTTCTATTTCAGCAAAACATTAGAAGAAACAAAATCAACTACTTTCCAGAAAATGATGAAAGTGTTACTGTGTCTTCTTGAAAAGTACTTCCAAAAATTAAAATATCCTAATGATACCCGAAAAGCCGCAGATTGGTCGTCTTCCTGACGTAATTATCACGTTTCTGCTCAAAGGCTTCTAATTTGACAGAGTTATGTATATCATAACATATACATCCATTCATGTGTATAAAACTTCTTTTAGTACAATACTGTGAATATCTCTTCGCCATCTGCATTAATATTAACCATCTTTAGAGCAGCACTAATAGAGCTTTATGTGCTGAAATATGACAAGTGCAACTTTTGTAAATGTCTACACATGCATAGGTTAAAGGGACAGCAATTTCACGATTGTTTACCCTAACAGGCAGTATGTGTCTATTATTCGACAGAATCAAGAGTCTAATCGTTCAAGGCATCCGTTAATTAAACATTTATAAATTATTCGCACTTCAGTGTCGTATGTGACACTATACTTATGATTTACGGAACTAAAATTGTTTTGTCCATTTCACATATTCACATATTTCAATACACAATTTATGAGTTTTAATTCCCCTATTCTCAGCTCTGAGGAAATCAAACAAGAACTTTTGAAGTTATAAAATGATATTAAGTGATGATAAAAGAGAAATCATCGGCTTATGTGGAGAAGATGACGCCATCTTGTCCAACGATGATTGTACAGAAGTCGATTCCATTGCTGTCTAGTGATTTGGAATCAAATTATTATATTATTGATCTTCAGTTACAGAATACAAATAGGGATAGAAATTTTATATTAGGAAATGATTGATAAACTACTTGGACAGATATTGCATTATCTACCGTATATTCCACAACAAAAAAACTATCTGCTACTTTCCTGAACCAAAGAATCGGGCTAAGTCGCTTACCAAAGAGTATAATACATTTTCAATACTAATCAATCACTAATGACATGATTAATCTTATGGTTTAGCACATTACACTCTAATTAATAAATTGAAAGGAAACAACATTCCAATCCAAACAATGGTATGTACGAAGTATTAGAATGTAATACAAATTCAATTAAAATAAAATTCCTGGAAGTGCTGTATTTGTCGGGGCTTCTAGAAAATTCAAGATTGACATTGATATGCATTCTCCTAATTTTGAACCTGCATTATTTAGGTGTGTGTTTACAAAACAATATTTAGAATTCCTTCTTAGAGCCCAGTCTCCATCTTTTTACCCAATAATAAATTCAGTTCGATGATATTTTTTTCTGATTAAAAAATCGTTTAAATTTTAAATCTTAGTTAACAATTCTGTCTTTATTCCTGTTATGTAAGTGTAAATTACCTTCTGTATCGTAAACTGCGTTTAAAAAAATTGTAGTTTAAAAAAGTCCAGTGTCAGATATGACACACCCTTGTGGTATGTGTCCCGGTTCATCACCTTGTGAAACAAGAGTTAATCTGCCCATACTGTAGTAAAGCAAGGAAAACTAAAAAATAACCAGTATCATTGCAGATAAATATATAACACACTGCAATGTTTTATTTATTTATTTTAGATTGTTGGCAATTACATAGTCATTTCTTTGTTTGACAAAAAATAACCAAAATGAAAAGTTCCCTGTAACGAGCAGTTTGAAAGGAATGCTAGGACTAGCTAATCTCAGTTTTACTAATAATATCAGCTTTACTAATAATATAAGGTAAAAATATCAGGCTTGTTGAGGCACAGTATGTATGACGTGACTCGAAGTTAAACAATATTTCAAAACTACCATAATTTAAGAGATAATTGCACTGCTTTTACACTTTGAATTGAAGTATAAATTAGTTTGTTTTATTCTGTCTTTTGATGTGGGATTTGAAGTGTTATTTCAGTGCAATTCGACTAAAGTTGACGCTTTCATCCGACAAAAAGGTTTTCAAATAGCAAAGTAACAAAAACGTTGCAGTCACTTCTCGGAAATACTAATTAGCTGAGAGACAAACTACCCGCCACAAAGTACATTAATTGAACATTTGTAGTTTCTGTGGTCAGGGTAGCATCCGGCACAACGTTTATTCAACTATAAGAAACTCTTGTACGCATGAAATTGAGATGTTAGTAAACAAACGGATACAACATAAATGAAAGAT